TAGATAGATAGATAGATAGATAGATAGATAGATAGATAGATATGAGAGGTCTGAGATAGATAGATAGGTAGATATGAGAGGTCCGAGATAGATAGATAGATAGATAGATAGATAGATATGAGAGGTCTGAGATAGATAGATATGAACTGACTGTGAGATAGATAGAGATAGATAGATATAGATAGATATGAGAGGTCTGAGATAGATAGATAGGTAGATGAGAGGTCCGGTAGAGATAGATAGATAGATAGATAGATAGATAGATAGATAGATAGATAGATAGATGAGAGGTCTGAGATAGATAGATATAGAACTGAGGTCTGAGATAGATAGATAGATAGATAGATAGATAGATAGATAGATAGATAGATAGATAGATATATGAACTGAGATAGATAGATAGATAGATAGATAGATAGGTCCGAGATAGATAGATAGATAGATAGATAGATAGATAGATAGGTATATGAACTCCGAGATAGATAGATAGATAGATAGATAGATAGATATGAACTGACTGTGAGATAGATAGATAGATAGATAGATAGATAGATGGATGTGACTAACTTCATTATTATATATTATTAATGTTATGAGGTAACGTGAAGATGCAAACAAGTACTGTTACTTTGTAATTGCGTGAACAGAAAATATACAAGCCCAGTGTCCATACGTGGATATACATGTTCATGCATGCATGTCCACATTATTCCGTTTATTCGGCAATCATTATTTCCAAACTCGTATGCACACACAGAAGCATTTTCCATTATTGTTTCATTATATAGTACTTTTGATTTCAATGTCCATCATCTGTGAATAATGGACAGACCAACATGTTTAACATTTTCGCGGCATCAAAATTTCTGGCTTCTTTGCAAAAATTTGTCGAGGCTTTTAACCTCACTCCACCATCTGTCGCCTTGCTTTCTCGTCCGGTTTGCCAGTCTAGTGTCAGGTCATCTCTACAGCGCATGCGTAGAACTGTCAACAGCACTTAGCAGAATCCTGTAATGTCATATGCATAGGAACAGAGTGATTTAATGGGAGGTGAAATAATTTATGTTCTTTTTCAATGTATTTATGCATTGAAGAAATCATTAAAACATACCCCCCCCTGCCCTTTCGGACATCGACAAGCGCTTTGTTGCTTTTCCCTATGTAAGCCTCAATTAATTCTCTTTCAGGTTACCTATTTGTTATATAAATTTCGACATATATATATATATATATATATATATATATATATATATATATATATATATTAATGGTATATATATTACGTATACAAATAGAATATTAGTATTCTTTTAATATCCACTTTTTTTTTCGTGGTATAAAAATATTTTGTACAGGGTGTTCAAAAATACATAAGAAAATACTGATACTAATTCCTGTCGTTATCATTTAGTGCGATATATTTGTTGGCATGCAAGAACAACTCATTGCAAAGGAAAAAGAAGAACTTTTCATTTAATCTGTTTTTTATATATATATATATATATATATATATATATATATATATATATATATATATATATATAAAGAAATATAGTCTTAATGTGTGCTATATTTATGGAATAAAGTGCTCAATATCAAAGATGGAGAGTGTGTAAATATAAAAGTGAACATAGAAGACAACACTTAGAGGCGACAGTCTGTTTCATGCTATATGCAATCGTCAGGCCACATATGCTGTTATTTTCCTCGGCTATTTATATATATGCGGGTTAGTGGTGCATTGTGGGTATTCTATTATGGCGGTTATTTTACCGGAAGTCGTTTGTTTATTTATTTGGGTCAAATTATATTGCTTGTTTTTAATTTTTTTATTATATATATATATATATATATATATATATATATATATATATATATATATATATATATATATATATATATATATACAAGACTCTTCGGGAAATCGAATTGAGTTCTCTCAGTCACTGGTTTAGTGGCAGAATCCCTGACTGACGCCAATTCAATCGGGTTTCGATCCTAGCCAGAGGCAACCAGATGTCTAGCCACACTGATGAGCTGTGATACAGCGAAACAGTCTGTTCAGGATGACAATATATATATATATATATATATATATATATATATATATATATATATATATATATATATATATATATATATATATACCCACTAAGTAAAGTGAAATAATACAACCTACTAAAATATATTAAAACTAAGTAAACTGAAATAATACAACCCACTAAGAACGTACATATACAGTTAACATAAGCACACTTACAAACACACAATTAAACATACAATAAACTTAACACGAACACACACACAAACACACACACAGAAGCACAAGCATACACGTGCCGGTGAGTGTGTGTGTGTATATGCTTGTGTATGCGTGCATGTGTGCACATACATAGATGCGGGTATGAACATACACCTGTACACAAACATACATACGCACAAAATTCCAACGATCAACTAAATTTTGTAGCCAGCAATAAACCAAGCCAAGAAGGTGAGGAAATAATAAAAAAGTAAAAAAATAAGTAAAAAGTAAAAAAAAAAAACGAGCAAGGAAGAGGAGTGGAAATCAACAATCAATCAACTCCCACCAAAGCAAAAGGAAATTAATAACACACTCATACCAATAGAAGTACAAGAGAATAGAGAAATGAGAGCAGATTAACTGTGTTCCTACGTGTGTTTATACTTATATAGACACGAAACTAAAGTCAACGTGAGTTAAGTGAAAAAAAACTTTTCATATTAATTCTAATAACGCTCTATCTCTGTCTTCCATATTGAGCACTTTACCACAAAGCCAGCTTGCCTTAAATACCTCATTATCATTAAACAGGAAACCCCCCAGCAATATTGCCTTCAAATTAACGCTATATATATATATATATATATCTGTGTGTGTATGTGTATATATATATATATATATATATATATATATATATATATATATATATATATATATATATATATATATATAGTCGACTCTCACGTCGAATATTCGACGTATGAGTGTCAAGCAGATCATTTTCCAGGAAACCGACAGCCCGACAACGGCACATGAGATTCGGTTATAGTGGTGAAGGTTTCGTGCAGAACCATCCACACCTTTTGAAGGGCCGAATACAGAGACCTGGTGCACTACGTGCAACAAGGACCCCCAAACGACCCTCCGCAGGTTTTGAATTCAGAGTTGTCCTTCTCCTAGACCAGTTGCCATCCAAGACTATAGAACCCAGTCTGTTTTACCCATAGTTGGAGGGAGAGGAAGAGGATGCATACCTTTCCTGATGAAACAATGCCTTCTTTAAGCCATTTTTAATCAGTGGTCCAAGGAAACGGTTGTTGTTTTTTTTTTGTTTTAAAGATTTGCATGAAATGTATATGACATGTGTGGAAGTCTCGATTTGACGAGTCTATGTAATTACATGACTTGAGCTTTCAGAGTAATATTTTATTTGTGTCTCACCATACGATGACAGTAAACCTAACATGTAATGGGACGTTTAACGAGAACTGTTAGAGGGGAAACATGAAAGAAGGCGTAATATATTTGGGCATTTGTTAACCAGTAATTGGTCAAGCGGATTGAATTTGGTTACATGAAAAATAATACGAGGGTAAACGAAAAAACATACATTATTTACATTATTCGGACTATTGTCGCCAGATTTATTACAACGTTTCGGTCGTTGTACGCTCCGGCCTTCTTCAGATGGTTGGAATGTCGAACTTAACCTTTTATTTCGTTCAGTGGGGTAGACTGTTCTAGTTCCACGTGCCATGTTTAATGGATGTCAGTTATCAGTTATCTCCTGTTTATTCCTCTCCCGATGTTCTCCACTGCTTTAACCGGGTATTGAAATCAAGGACACATGGCACAGTGGATAAAGGCGTTGGCTAGATCCAGTGACAGAACCCAAAGAGTCCGAGTTCAATACATAGTTAAGGCCATGGCACGTGGAACTAGAACAGTCTATTCCAGTGAGCGAAATAAAAGGTTAAGTTCGACATTCCAACCACCTGATGAAGGCCGGGGCGTACAATGGTCGAAACGTTCTAATAAATATGGCGACAATGATGAGGACGTTAGTCCGAATAATGTAAATAATGTACATAATCCCTCATCTCAGAAATATAGACAAATACCAGAAAATATGTTTGAAAATACGAAAACAAAACATTCATAACTTTTCCAAGGGTATTTGTACAAAATGAACGATCAAAACTTGAAAAATTTCATGCTTAATTTTTAGATTATATTTTAGCTCTCCTGACATAGTTTCTTGTTAAAAATAAATGAATGACTCACAATGATTTGAAGTACGCATATTCGCGCGCGCATTTAACAAAGGAATTTGAATCATTGTATTTGCATTTTTGGATCATAAATCAAGCTACAATTCTCTATCTGTTTCAGTATGCGCGGACAATCCTGAAGGAAGAAATGTCATTAGTCAGGAAGTAATCTAAATCAGTTAGTTATGTGCCATGCTTTATACATCCTTATGCGATCATGTATCTTTTATACATAAATAACTAGGCGGATTTTTTCCCCACAGTTGGTTGCCATTTTTTTCTGCGGTAAACCAGTTTCAATCCAAGGCTATAGAACACGGTCTGTCCTGCTATTTTACCCATACCTGGCGGGGAGAAGAAGATTCATACTTTCCCACGTAATGAATGTAATGGATTCGACTAGAATTCTAACTCGGCTCTCAAGATTTCTCAATCCGAACCATTATGCATTAATCCACCATGTCTCCTGGGTAAATATAGCCTTTATATGCACAATGCATATTTCTAAATATCAATTAACAGACTCATTAATTCCTAAATTATAAATGAATTTTTGACTTGTTATGGAGCGATAGATCGCATTTTCGAGACTCGCCTAAGCACCGTTCTAATCAATTCTTTATTAAATTTCAAAGGAAAAAAAGAAAAAAAAGAAAGAAAAAAAAAGCCGTATTATCGCATAATATTTGTAAGATTAACTTGTGATGTCTATTATGTAAGAAGCATGGAAAGATGGAAAGTACTTTCGATATCAGCACGCTCAGTTGATATTAGTTCCTTGGTTGTTTGATTCTGAAGATAAGGAAGTGCAGAATGGGGGTACTTAAAAGATGTTGGCAGAGGCTCAAAGGTCACATGACTGGAGGGTATATTCCCAGCCCAGGGTGTGCCGCTAGGAACGGAATGTTACACAATAGGACATGATGAGGAATATAAGAAGACAAATTAAAGGCTTTCTGCTCTATTATAGTTCACTTACTAATGGAGGTAACAAACATTACCAATCTCTCTCTATATTGGTAAGTTCACAACTATATCGGCCTGTTCCTATCTATCTATCTATCTATCTATCTATCTATCTATCTATCTATCTATCTATTTGTTTTAATTGATTCTATTCTAGTTGTTTTATTTGTCTCCTTCTCATTCAGCTCTATCTATCTATCCATCTCTATCTATCTCAATCTGATACTATCTAGTTGTTTTATTTATTTCTTTCATTCATCCTATCTATCTATCCCTCTCTCAATCTATCCTATCTATCTCCTATCTATCTATCTATCTATCTATCTCTATCTATCTATTTATTCAATCTGATCCTACCTATCTATATCTCATCCTGTTCATCTATCTATCTATCTATTTATCTATCTATCTCAGTCTGTTCTCATCTCTCTCTCTCTCTCTCTCTCTCTCTCTCTCTCAATCTGATCCGATCTGTCTCCATAGTTGGTTTCTTTCTTTCTTTCTTTCTTTCTTTCTTTCTTTCTTTCTTTCTTTCTTCTCAGGCTTTTTCAGTTTGTTCCCCTCTCTCTATTTCAGTCTGTTCCCCTCTCAAATCTTAGTCAGTTTCTCTCTCTCTCTCTCTATCTATCTATCTATCTCAGTCTGTTCCTCTCTCTTTCTTTCTATCTACATATTTCAGTCTGTTTCCCCTCTCTCTATCTATCTATATGTCAGTGTCCATATTGAGATTTCTCTCTTAATGGAAAAATGCTATAACCTCGATTCCAATATGTTGTCAATGGTTAAAAATAAAGATGGGAAAATAATAAATGACTCGACGTTTGTTATGATTCCAAGAACATTTTTCTTTTCACAATTTGCAATAAAAATACCCTGAAAAAAACTCTTTCTATCAATGTCTTTCTCTCTCTGACCCCCTCTCTCTCTATATCAGCATGGTCATCTATATTCCATTCAATAGGAGAGTCGTAGTTTAAAATCAAATTATTACGCAACATATGTTGGTAAGATTTGCAAATTAAAAAGGACAGTCATTTTCAGGAAGCAATGTTGTGTCTGTGTAGTTGCTAGAATTATTTTGTTTGTATGCTAGTCTTCTTTGGAAGGCTTCAAGTGTGAAACAAAATCAACAGGTGATACTATATATTAAGCTACATAATCATATATATATATATATATAATTTAAAGAAAAAACAGACTACTTTAAGGCTCCATTAGTTATAATTTATTTCACCAGATTTTATTTTTCTCTGGATCTTCAGACTTCACTTTCAAGGGTGAAATAATGAATTTAAAATTTACACATTTAAAGGGCAGTGTTAAGCTTATATAAGGTGATATAGAAGGTGGTGAGGAATAGTGTGAAAGACAAGGTGGAGTTTAGAGAGGGAAAGGAGACTTTTAAAATTTATTTTTATTTTTATTACAGTACTTAATATTGAGGAGGATACATTCCCTTAACCGGGTATTGAACTCACACTCTTTGGCTCCTGTCACTGAATCTAACCAACACTTTTATCCACTCTGCCATGTATCCTTGAAACGTTGTAATAAATATGGCGACAAAGTTGAGGACAATAGTCCGAATAATGTAAATAGTGTACATAATACCTCATCTCAGAAATATAGACAGATATTTATTGAATAATAATAATTTAATAACAAGTTGAATGAAAAATGCTAATTTAAATTTCGAAATGTAACTATAGTCAAAATGTTAAAGTTAATCTGTGCGTCCCTGTATCTATAACGTTTTGAATGTTAATTGAAACCGGTGTTTTTTTAAATTTCTTTCCATTCTAATACATTTTATATTTCATATTAATTCCATCAATGAGACTGAAGAAGTCTTTTTAAATATACGAAACGTAATTTAATAAGAATGGGTATTATTTTTCGGATATACACGCTTATGATAACTTCAAACTTGCCCTCTTCAAGTTAAGGGTCAACAGTCATCTTTTCCTAATAATTTTCATTTCTTACCACCATCTCCGCTATTCATATCACGCACTTCATCCAAATTTGCCAATTTATTGAATGTAATCTATATATTGGGTGGCCATCGGGCTTGTACTTGAGAGATTTTAGCGTGAAACAAAAATCACGCTTTCCGTGATTGTCCAAAATTGTGATAACCCTGTCATTTTATCCAAGAAAATAGCATTTTTGGGAGAAAATATTGTTTACATACTTATCTCTTTTGAGCGCGATCCATTCGATCTTTACAGGAAAATAACTTATGTCAGGCGAGTTTATTCACAAACACAACCACCAGAGAAATCCAGTAGCTCAATTGTTCTTATACGTTTGAGGTTCAATTGAAAAATAACCTAAGATTAAAATATCTATTTACGCCCGACAGGTTAATGATTGAGATTCACCAGGAAGTCGATGAGATTGATCGTCGTTATCGTTATGAAAATCATGATGAAATAAGAATGGATCGTTCAAAATGGCGGGAGTGCAGATCATGGCGATGTGTACAAAAGGAAGTTGACTGAAGTTGTTGATATTTAGTCTTCATGGGAGAATCAATGCAAACTGTGAGAAGCGTTATGATGGGATCGATAAACAAACGAAAGCCAAAATGTCGGGGGTTCACGTAACTGCTCTCAGTAGTATACACACACACACACACACACACACACACATATATATATATATATATATATATATATATTTGATCGAATAGTAAAATTTATTATTATAAGACATATTAAACACAAAAATAAAAAATAAAAAAAAACAAAAAACACAACAACGGGGGGAAGCAACCGGTTGCTTCCGCCCCGTTGTTGTGATTTTTTTATTTTTTATTTTTGTGTTTAATATGTCTTGTAATATTAAATTTTATACTTTTATTTCGATCATTAAATTGTGTACCTACAAAAATATCTTTAAACATATATATATGGAGAAATATAGTCTTGACGATTGCATCCAGCATGAAACAGACTGTCGCCTCTAAGTGTTGACTTCTATGTTCACGCACACACACACACACATATATATATATAGATATATATATTTAAAAATATATTTAAACATATATTGTTAAACATAACAGACAATGAATGTCTATTATGTCTGATCATGAGCATTTTCTAAACTCCGTATATTTGCTTTAATTTCGGGTGAAAATAAAGACAATAATTGTCCAACATTTCGATATATTTATTAAGCTGTTTCTTGATCTAAGTGTTCGGTTCACATGGACCATCTCCAGAGTGGTTATGCCGACAAATGAACAATGATATTCACCATCAAGTACGATATTCTTTTATGCTGACATAGAAGTTTGCGGGAAGCGACTAGCACGCAAGGGGTTACAGAGAGTTGGAGTGATAGAGGAAAGGATGAAGGGATAGATAGATGTCGAGATGTCGATTGAAGTTACATTTGAATAGTTGGAGATTATAGCGATCATGAAAACAAGAAATGGGTAGGGAGTTCCACAGGTAAGAAGTGCGAGGCATGAAGCTATTGGAGTAGAAGAGACGGCTACATTTAAAAATTTCGACAGTCAAAGTGTGAGAGGGAGATGCCAGCCTAGTTGAACGCTTAAATTCATGAAGTCTGGGAACCAGCGAAAGCAGCTCATCGCGAAAGCAGCTCACTCAGTTACAGTGAAAGTATTTGTAAAAAAGACAGAGGGAGGCAACGGTACGTCTGTGAGAGAGCGACTGCAGACGAGATGCCAGATCAGGGCCAATTACATTGCATATCCGTCTTTGGATATTATCAAGGACTTTCAGACAGTTATATATATATATATATGTGTGTGTGTGTGTGTGTGTGTGTGTGTGTGTGTGTTTTGTGTGGGAGTATGAAAGTGACAGAAAGAGGGAGAGAGAGTGAGTGGTATAATTATTTGCTTAATTCTAATATATAAAACACAATGTTTGTGTCCACTCAATACTTTCGTAACGTTTACAAGTTCGGTACCAGGGTGGCAGACACACCGCATTTACTGCAACCGTAGCGACATTGGTAACTATACGAAAAGATAGCCTGATGTCTGTTTATTTAATTCAAAATTTTCCTTCTCTTAGTCTGTCTGATACTTCACGGAAGTGGGTAGACCATTCAAAAGCATAAACATTAATTAAATCTGTGACATTGACCACGGATAAACTGTTTAAAGATCTCCTGGAATGTCTTATATCATGGCCGTCTTGGCGGTTCTTCTTTAATGAAGATAATCTTTTTGCATGATCGGTTTTAAAAAATGAAACTTTTTAAATTAATAGTTTGCTTATTCATTTCCAATCTGATGTTTGATAAATAAGAATTGTTAACTAAGGGTGTTCCAATAACGATTTTAAATGTGAACTAATTTTAAGCGTCTAATATTTTTTTCTATTTCTTTCAGATTTAGAGGACATTTAGGCGATATTATTTTTCACACATAATTTCCATGACTTAAATAACATGACCCAACAGAGAAATAAATAAATTTTCACGAATAACACTGATTTATTTACTGCTGAATTTGATTTGTCTTAATGAAACAATCTTATATATATTCCGTCTTAATGGAACACCCTTATATATAATCCGTCTTAATGAAACACCCTTTAGTTTTAAATTCCATAGACATACCTATTAACCATTTTCTGCCCTGATATTTGCTGGTAAAAAAAACTTGTCATTTCGAGCACAATTCGATAGCAAAGGAAGGTGAGAGATATATAAAAGGAGCACCAGACCAGATATGGCAACAATGTGGTAGATTTATAAACTAGCAAGAAAAATTGTCTTGCATCACACAATAAACCAACTTACCTAGCTGCAGACCTAGGAATTGATTCAATATAATCATTTTAATTCATGTCAATAGAAAACGTCAAAAGTCCGAAATTATGAATCGTTACATTTACACAAAAATTCGTCTTAATTTCATATCTGCGACGCAAGGACACCGACTGATTGTTCTAGACTCCCTGTTTCCATCTCTGTCGTTATGCGACCATCCAGGACGATGTCGCGACGTCCGTGGGATACGTTAGTTTTTCCCTGTATAATCCGGCATGGAGAATAACTGGGTCACTCCCAGTACAAAACTTTTGCAAATTTTTTAACTGGGGTGTTCCCACCTCTAAAATTCTAGTGACTGAAAAGGATTCCTTAGCCTCTAAAAGTGATCCCAAACATTTAATCCTCACTCCGTGTCCCTAATCCAAGTTATGACAGCCGAGGATTTAGAGAAGTCACTTTAAAAAGGAGCCTTAGTAACATTTTTTCCTGTGAGGAAATGCCTCGCTACAGAGCCTGCCTGTCTATGTGACATTTTCTTTCATCTAGGGAATATCTTCTTTTTTGAGAGGTATTGGGAGGCACGGTGTTACGGGGAATAGAGTCAGGAGGTTTGTTGAGAGGGGGTTTTTGGGAGGTGTTTTAACATGAGGTGTTTTGGGAGGAGAGGTTTTGGTGGGAGTGTTGAGAATTTGGAATTGTAATTGGGGAACAAGGAAGGCTCTTTGATATAACTTTTTTTCAGATTTTTGGCAGGTGAAGAAGGGATGGAGAAGGTCTTAGTTTTGTCCAGGGCCTTCTCCGACCTACCACGACCTGCTCGTCTGTTTTCTTGACTATATTTTCCTCTTCCTCCTCTCTCCCTCTTTTTAAAGATGTGGACCGAGGTGGAGGCATCTTCTCCATTTCCACCTCTTGACCCTGTTGAAGATCCGGTTGAGAGTCCTCCTG